GCATCTTCCCCCGCTTACCATCTTACCCCGAATCACTCTATGCGTTGCAGTCAAACCAGTTTTTAGTTAGGATGCGTTTTAACTAGTTAAAACTAGTTTATACTGGATGTCTTTGTTAAAACCCGTTTTGTCTAGTTAAAACTAGAATTTACTGCTAGTCAAAAATGAATTTGTGTTAAAACTAGTTTTAACTAGACAAAACGGGTTTCAACAAAGACATTCAGTATAAACTAGTTTCAACTAGTTAAAACGCGTTCTAACTAAAAACGGGTTTTAACTGTAACATATACATAACATGGCAATAAAAGTCTCTTTCCACCCAATTATTTCAAAATTAATAGGCAATCAGGCCTCGTATGTTGGTCATGCGTTAAACGATGGTGCGAATTTCTGCCCATTGTATCCTTTCTATCAAAGTAGTATACATGACGAATAAACTTTACTCACTGTGATGATGCTCAAGTGCAGCAATAAACTAAAAATCGGACAGCCCTCTAATCTCTTTTACTCCAGGTTTACTCAAGGTCTCTAATTAAAATAGAGCAACGACATCAATTAAAAAGTTGTAGCACGTGAGAAAAACATATTGTTATCTTTTAGTACGTTTCAAAATATTAAGTGGAAACAGGAAACAGATAGCAAAAGACGGAACTAAAATAATTTTGAATAAAGTTATTCTTTACAAATTATATATTTTATTAATTAATAAACATCGACGTAAATCATGTTAAATCAATTTAATTTTCACTGGTATCAAGTTTAAATACAAAAATGTAAAGATTATTTATTNAATGTAATTAATAAAAGATTAATATACGTAATGTAATAAACTGTGTATAAAGTTAACAATATAAATAACTATTATACACAAGATGGCAATAAAAGTCTCTTTCCACCCAATTATTTCAAAATTAATAGACGATCTGTGTGGACTTTTTGCCTTGTATGTTGGTCATGCGTTAAACGATGGTGCGAATTTCTGCCCATTGTATCCTTTCTATCAAAGGGCTGTTGTAATTTCGGTCTCTAATTAAAATAGGGCAACGATGTCAATTAAAATGTTGTAGCACATTAGAAAAACATACTGTTATCTTTTAGTACGTTCCAAAATATTAAGTGGAAACAGGAAACAGACTATCAAATATTTGCTTTAGTTTCTTAAACCTAATTAATTTCCTCTCGGAAAGTTATGTCATCTATTTTTTATTATCTATATTAAATAATTATTTATTTCCACTTAAAAAAAATCTGACATCCAAAAAAAATTGCTGCGAAATAGATAAGGCATGTAAATGGATACTGTGCATCACCGCACAACATTGATGGGATTGGATGAAAGTCATAGGGATAGCATTGAATAGGTCGGAATAGACCAGTGAACTGGTCCAAGATTCCCAGACTTTATACTTATAGAGTTTTTTCTACGGGGTTTTCTGATGTCAAAGGTGTTCCGACGGCCAAGCGGTTTAGGTAGCAGCTAAGGTCCTGCAGAGATGTAGGCTCTGAAGGACCTTAGCTACTCACCTCAACTGGGAATGGATGCGGATAGGTCAAAAAATCACGGAAATATTTTAATGGTGTTCATTTTGGATACGTCGGACCCTGTCCATCATTACCCGGTCTCTTCATCATGGATCTGGCCGAACTCACGATTGGCTTGATAAAAAAAAGACTCTCTCAGTGCCCACAAGATAGAAAGGATAAAATAAATGAAGTCGAAGGTTTATGAAATACAGCCATTGAATGCGAGTAATGTGCAGTAACTTATTTTGGTGCATTTGCTTCTGTAATAGATGATATGTTGACAGACGAGCAAGTTGTTGGAAAGGTACTGTACAGTACCTTACGGTTCCTATAGTACATTTAGTGATAGAGAAAAAAATTGTTGTTTCGTTACACATGAATAGTTTCTAATGAAAATTTCAAGACAATATGCTTATTGAAATGGATGGAATCTTATAGCAAAATAAAGAACTAAAATAATTTTGATAAAAGTTATTTTTTACAAATTATATATTTTATTAATTAATAAACGTCGACGTAACTCATGATAAATCTATTTAATTTTCACTGGTATCAAGTTTAAATACAAAAATGTAAAGATTATTTATTTATATTTATTTAAATCCATATTTGGAGCTGCGCCATTTTCTTCAGGTGCATTATTTTTTGAAGTATTTTCAAATGATAGTTCCGAGTTATTATCTTCTTTATCTTTTTTTCTATCGACATTTACCGATGCTTTTAAAACACTGAAAGATTTATTTCTTCTACAATTTCCTAAAGATTTTGTCACTTTGTGTTTCAATGGAGTTTCAACGACAACTGAAACTTCACTATCTTGAAGCTTATATTCATTTCCTTTTTTATCTAGTAATGCATTCTTGTTTTCCATTGTTTTTGGAAGATTTTGCACTAATATATTTCCATAAAGTCTGCTCCCTATTTTTTCTGGTGCTGAAATTTTATGCGATTTTGGTTGAATCTTTCGACGATCTACCGAAGAATATTTTCCACGTTTTGCTGGTGTCGATAAAACAAAATACGGTTCTTCTTGATTGTTATTTTGATGACAATACCTTATAATTTTCATACCTTTTCTGCTTGTAACTTTTGTTATATGACGATTTTTCTGTTTTATATTCTTACTGCTTAATTTTTCGCGAGGTTCAGCTATAAGCAGAGTGGCTCTTTTAATAACGTCTTCCATTTTTGAAACCTGTTGTTGAAACAGATCTTGCGAACACATTGAAAGAGAGCGATGTTTTGCATTATTATACGGTGTAGTAACTTTCAACGATTCAGCCATTGAAACTTGTATAGATTTCCACGATTGATGTTCTGATATTACGGATATATGGTCGAAGTGAGATGGCGTTACAACAGCGATTGGTATTACGGCTTCATTTTTATTAGAATTAAAGTGTATACAAATTTCAATCTGTATGAAGTTTCTCTCCGAGTTTTGTAGAATCGTAGGGATGATTTTAATATGTTGCAGATCATTTTTTTCTGTATCTCCATACTTTTTTTCCTGTAAATTTGTAGGAAGAGACGTGATTATCGGCGGATCTAAAACTGTTGGAGGTGATCTTTCGATAACTTTTTCTTGTATATTATTCCATTTGGATCCTTCTAGAGTATTTCGTTTTGATGTTTGATGCAATAAGGATGGATTTAATATTTTATTATCATTTTTCATTGAATTTTTATCGCGCCAATTATATTCTGACGCTTCCATGAGAACGTTTTGTTGCATTTCTTCTTTGGTTCTCGGCAAGAGAAAATTTTCAGCCGTGTATAAACATTTTGATTTTTCTTTCATTGGAACAAATTGTGCAAACTTTGGTTTGTTTTCAGATGATAAAGTAATCTTTTCCGATCCAATCTCTATAAATCTAGCATCTGTTGGAGATGATAACATTAAATTTTCAGTTTTATTTGCTATTCTTTTATTATCGTCCCGAAAATCTGGAAATTTTACGTTTTTATCATCCAAAAGTTCGGATAATTGATATTGATATTGAGAATTTACAATATATTCAGAATGATTCGTAATCAGATCTGATTTCATTTTATCATCTAAATCATTGGTAAATAAGTGAACTTTTTCGGGAGTAACTGTTAAAATATCTCCCATATTCAAAGTTGAATTATTAATTTCTGTAGTATCTGCATTAATCCATTCTTCCTCACCAGAATACCCACAACTAAAAATATTTTTTTCTTTTTTTGTCATAATTTTTACGTTTTTATCTCTTTGATGTTGTTGATTTGTTACATCTGGAATGTTATAATCTTTATTTTTTATCATTTGTGCTTCGTGTAAATGCTTGGCATTATCCGAAAAAGGTTTCAAATGTTTACTTTCTATGTTTTTGTCATTGAAATCGTTGACAATTAAGTTATCCCATTCGCTTTCATTAACTTTTATATATTTTTTAGCTTTATTTATTTTCTTATTTTCTTTAATTGTATGTAAATTTTCGAAATTATCAACTACGGGTGAATATCTTTCATCCTTTCCGTTTGAGATATATTTGTTTCTATCAATATTACTTTCATTGTTTGATTTCCCGTCATTCGAAATTGCTTGTTTTACTTCATGAACTTTTTTATTTCCTTTTTCTTCGATTAATATTTTCATTAAAACTGTAATCAGATCTTCTAATAATTCTTGCCGTGTCATATTATTTAAATCTTTTCTTATAATATGTTCATCTGAATTTGTTATTGTTGATATTTCGTCCATATTCATTGAACTTTCTTTTGCTTGACAAACGCATTCTGACAATGTATCTGAAGAATTTTCTCTCGCCTTTTCCAAATACATTTTTGATGTATTCTCAAACGATTTCTTTTGCAAAAATTCTAAACTAGAAGTGAGTGAAGATGAATTCCTTTCGGGTAGAGCATGCTTTATTGAATACAATGTATTTTTTGAATTGCTTTTTAATGCGGTCTTGTTACCTTCGATGTGTAATTTCGAATGGTTTTCGTCGATAGATTTGCGTGTAAAATTCTCCAAATTACTGCTATTTATTGAAGAAACTTGTAAATGATGCGTGCCATTATCAAAATTACTATTTGTTGGATTAAAATATAATAACTGATTTTCTCTTAATTGTAAATTCTTCTCATTTAATTCTGTTTCAGTATTTGAATGACTTAGGTTCATACATAAGTCTTCTTGATATTCACTATTTTGTTTCATACCCTAAAATCAATTATATTTTTTATATTAAATTTATTAATTTAAATACTTATGTAATGAATCTTTCGTAATGTTAATACAGAATAAAGAATAACTTTATAATAACCTTGTATTTTCTTGATTTTTTTGACAGATTTAAAAAATTCTTGATAAAATTTACAAAACCACGTTTCTGAGAATTTTTTGTCTGTAAGAAAAATTAAATTATATTTTTAAATACATTTTTATTAAATATCTTTTTAAAAAATAATCTATAATATCGATTGTTATAGTCGTAATTATATTACATATTATGTATAACAGAATTTGGTTAATCTGGCACTTGATAAACCGAAATTTCTGGTAATTTCATACTCAGAATAATCTGGAATTATTTGATAATTGTCAGATATCTACAATAGCAGATACTATAATTATCAGACCATCTGGATTGGTATATTCCACAAATAAACATTTGTTTGGATTAGTGAAGCTTTAAGATCTCTTGAGGAATAGCGTGCTTATTANTAATATGTTGCAGATCATTTTTTTCTGTATCTCCATACTTTTTTTCCTGTAAATTTGTAGGAAGAGACGTGATTATCGGCGGATCTAAAACTGTTGGAGGTGATCTTTCGATAACTTTTTCTTGTATATTATTCCATTTGGATCCTTCTAGAGTATTTCGTTTTGATGTTTGATGCAATAAGGATGGATTTAATATTTTATTATCATTTTTCATTGAATTTTTATCGCGCCAATTATATTCTGACGCTTCCATGAGAACGTTTTGTTGCATTTCTTCTTTGGTTCTCGGCAAGAGAAAATTTTCAGCCGTGTATAAACATTTTGATTTTTCTTTCATTGGAACAAATTGTGCAAACTTTGGTTTGTTTTCAGATGATAAAGTAATCTTTTCCGATCCAATCTCTATAAATCTAGCATCTGTTGGAGATGATAACATTAAATTTTCAGTTTTATTTGCTATTCTTTTATTATCGTCCCGAAAATCTGGAAATTTTACGTTTTTATCATCCAAAAGTTCGGATAATTGATATTGATATTGAGAATTTACAATATATTCAGAATGATTCGTAATCAGATCTGATTTCATTTTATCATTTAAATCATTGGTAAGTAAGTGAACTTTTTCGCGAGTAACTGTTAAAATATCTCCCATATTCAAAGTTGAATTATTAATTTCTGTAGTATCTGCATTAATCCATTCTTCCTCACCAGAATACCCACAACTAAAAATATTTTTTTCTTTTTTTGTCATAATTTTTACGTTTTTATCTCTTTGATGTTGTTGATTTGTTACATCTGGAATGTTATAATCTTTATTTTTTATCACTTGTGCTTCGTGTAAATGCTTGGCATTATCCGTAAAAGGTTTCAAATGTTTACTTTCTGTGTTTTTGTCATTGAAATCGTTGACAATTAAGTTATCCCATTCGCTTTCATTAACTTCTATATATTTTTTAGCTTTATTTATTTTCTTATTTTCTTTAATTGTATGTAAATTTTCGAAATTATCAACTACGGGTGAATATCTTTCATCCTTTCCGTTTGAGATATATTTGTTTCTATCAATATTACTTTCATTGTTTGATTTCCCGTCATTCGAAATTGCTTGTTTTACTTCATGAACTTTTTCATTTCCTTTTTCTTCGATTAATATTTTCATTAAAACTGTAATCAGATCTTCTAATAATTCTTGCCGTGTCATATTATTTAAATCTTTTCTTATAATATGTTCATCTGAATTTGTTATTGTTGATATTTCGTCCATATTCATTGAACTTTCTTTTGCTTGACAAACGCATTCTGACAATGTATCTGAAGAATTTTCTCTCGCCTTTTCCAAATACATTTTTGATGTATTCTCAAACGATTTCTTTTGCAAAAATTCTAAACTAGAAGTGAGTGAAGATGAATTCCTTTCGGGTAGAGCATGCTTTATTGAATACAATGTATTTTTTGAATTGCTTTTTAATGCGGTCTTGTTACCTTCGATGTGTAATTTCGAATGGTTTTCGTCGATAGATTTGCGTGTAAAATTCTCCAAATTACTGCTATTTATTGAAGAAACTTGTAAATGATGCGTGCCATTATCAAAATTACTATTTGTTGGATTAAAATATAATAACTGATTTTCTCTTAATGGTAAATTCTTCTCATTTAATTCTGTTTCAGTATTTGAATGACTTAGGTTCATACATAAGTCTTCTTGATATTCATTATTTTGTTTCATACCCTAAAATAAATTATATTTTTTATATTAAATTTATTAATTTAAATACTTATGTAATGAATCTTTCGTAATGTTAATACAGAATAAAGAGTAACTTTATAATAACCTTGTATTTTCTTGATTTTTTTGACACATTTAAAAAATTCTTGATAAAATTTACAAAACCACGTTTCTGAGAATTTTTTGTCTGTAAGAAAAATTAAATTATATTTTTAAATACATTTTTATTAAATATCTTTTTAAAAAATAATCTATAATATCGATTGTTATAGTCGTAATTATATTACATATTATGTATAACAGAATTTGGTTAATCTGGCACTTGATAAACCGAAATTTCTGGTAATTTCATACTCAGAATAATCTGGAATTATTTGATAATTGTCAGATATCTACAATAGCAGATACTATAATTATCAGACCATCTGGATTGGTATATTCCACAAATAAACATTTGTTTGGATTAGTGAAGCTTTAAGATCTCTTGAGGAATAGCGTGCTTATTAACAATTTTAGAAGATTTTCAGTAAATCTTAACAGATTATATCATAAAATGCATGTGTAAAGAAATTGAAAGCATACAGCGGCTGGTACAAAGTGAAGAACAATGTCTGCAACGTGCGGATCGTAGGTAAGTTTCCTGAATTTTGAGAAAATACTGCGAAAACTCGTGGTGTAAGTGCCAGATTAACAAATTTCTATTGTGATTTAACGAAAATTTAAAAAAAAAAAACCTTCTGTTTGTTTCGTTTCATAATTTTCTTTACAGTTTTAATTATTTTTCTCTGTTATGAAATATAGTGTCAAAAGATTTTTCATTAATTGAACAATAACTTTGTAACGATAACAATCGATAATGCAACAAACTATTTTTTGAAAGAAAAAGTTTTCTTTTNCTTCGGCCTTTTCACTGATACAATTTAATCCAGATGCAGTGTATTTATTAATTTTTTAAATTGCTTATATTAGTAAATGACCTCTAAAGACGGTATAGCCATTTATGAACAAATAAATGGAGTTTTCGTTCTGTTATTTCGTATATTTTACTGTAACATTTGGTGGAAGTGCAGTAATCGGTCACAACTATAAAGTGCTCTAAACAAAGAAAATTTATAACACTTTATATCTAGCTACAATTTTAACTTTTAGAACTAGAGTATGTATGTTTAAAAATTCTATACTTTATGACAGATACAAGTTTTATAAAAGGTATATTCGTTGGATTATATTCGGCAATTGTCCGGACNAAATGGGTGCTTGCTGTGGGTGGCAAGGTCTTTAAAAATAGATCTGAACACGAACGTTAACTTATGTATGGAGTCGCCATTTTCAGACTTTTTCAATAGTGCAGGTTTTAAACAAACTAGTACGAGCAGTTAATTTTATACGATATTAAACTAAAATTACATAAATCAATGAGATTCCAGTCTAATAATCATTTCGGAGATTATGCAACGATAATTTTATGTAATTTGATCAAAATGGTTTAAAATAACGAACATCCTTATCATTTGTTGTTTTGATTGAAACTAATCAAATTAATAATTGCTTTAGTTTTATCACGTATGTAGGCATTTCCTAAATCAATAATATCAATGAAAAATCAAAGGAACTATACCTCTATATGTGACACTTATACCTAGAAATCAGCCTACAGCCTACTTCCAAGCGCTATACGAGTCACGCTGCGTGCTCCTCTAAACAACTAAATCATTAATCAACTTGTTTTTAATACTAAAAAACAATAAATAAATAAACAATTTATTTTTTAAGCGGTCCAAAAAAGTAGTAAGTCGCACAAATGTAGTGGCTTAATTAAACGTACAAATATCTCAATCTGCCACTCGTAGGCCAATTTGGCAATCTCGAAAACCAGCCGTATTTTATAAGATAAGAAAAAAAAGGGGTAGTCCATGGGTAAGATGACACCCGAAAATGTGTTACTGTAAAAGCAAAGTCATATTGACCGTATTAGAGTTGTTCTTGGTCTATTGTTCTCTTATATCATGGAGGTACTATACTTCGATTTAAACGAACGAGTTAACATATGCATATGACATTTCCGATAGTACTGTACTTTCACTTCGAATTTCGAAGCAGCTGTCGAATTCCTTAAGAAATCAGGGTCCGGGACAAAAGTACATTTACGAACTAACAGGATTTCGTACTATCCGAGTTCGAATTAACAAGGATTTCCTGTATTATACTATATTACAGTATTACGAAAAATTGTTGAGATCGTATACATAAAATTATTTGATATCATTTATCAATAATTCTATGCATTTGATACACTATTTACTCATATTTTTTGTATATTTTTATATGTGGTGTGCCACAGAATTCTGGAAAGTACCTAAGTGTGCTGGGCTTGAGAAAAGATTACACAGTACTGATCCAAAGGATGCACGACGTAATGTTTAACATTTACTAAAACAAAACATCACAAAATTATGTGAAACAACTTCAATAAACAAATTACCGTAAAATTTTTAAAGTTTACTTCAGCTTCCATTTATTTCCAGGAATTTCCGCATACTTCTGTTAGTAGCATTCCAGTCTTTAATAATAAAATGAGGGTGCAAAATGTCTTTCACAAACTAAATCTGTTGATTTGCAAAGTACAGTATATCTTTTCTAAGAATCATTCGCCGCCATTTCATTGATAATTTTAGAGATCCCTTACTTTTCCTTTCTTATACCGTGGTTTGCATCATGTGTGGATTATTATTATTATTAATTAATTTTCAATTGTTCAGCAATATATTAACTTCCACAAGATTAATTCTTACAGCTGATACAAAAGGTAATGATTTAGCTCTTATTTTCAAGTTTAATGACATCGCAGTCTTCATAATGTAGAAGAGTTTTTTTTAATGTCTAGATAATATATATATACAGTATATATATTTAGAATTTTATAAAATCTTCAATACAAAAAATAATATAAATTTCCTGTGAGAAAAAAATAGGAGTTGATTCTATAAAATTTTAAGTTCTTAAACTTAGAGAAAAAAATAAATTGAAAGAATACAGACAATATTTATCATGAGTTAAATAATTTATGTCAAAAATAAAGGAATCTCAATTATTAATTTATCAACTGACAACTACAGTATTAGTATTGCAATTAAGAATTTAATAGTGCAATAATAAAAGAATATATTTCGAAATCTAAAATGAAAAATGTATGAATTATATGTTTTAGAAATATAGAAACAAAAATGCATTAATACAAAAAGAAATTTTTAAAATTTTNTAATGCTTAAAAGAAACAAAGAACAGATGAATTTAACAGTAAAATCCACCGAAAATAAAATAAAAATAAATGCTATATGAAACAAACTCTAAAAATACAAGAAAACAGGAAACCTTATGGTGTCTCGTACTTCGAATTTAATTCATTCCAGGAGGCCGTTCGAAATCCGAATTAATTTTTCCTATTAGAAATAATGGAAAACGAATTAATCCATTCCCACATCCTAAACAATACCCATTTTGATTAATTTAAAACAGCAAATACACATAATTTAAGGTAAAAACAATACAATTAAATACCCTAATAATAAAACACGAAGCAAACAAGAAAATATAAAATACACAAATTTCATATAATATAAAATGAAAATTGCATTAACTGATCGCACACCGTTGACACCATCTTAAATATGGCCGCCAGATTACCACGTGTAGACTAATTTTAAAGTTTATGATCTATTTAACCGATAGTTTTTGCATAATTTTGAAAATTGCCGTTACTTATTATAGGTGTATAATTTAATTATAAATGTTGTGGAATATAAGACGTTGTTACTAATGTGAGATTGCATTCATTATTTAGAAGCTTATTTTAAACTTTTTACTTAAACGCTTCAGCGTGAAAATAATAGTACAAACATTGAAAATGATGTCGCAGTCGCAAAACATATACATATGTAATTTCATTGTATTGCAGACACCACAAAAGTAAATAGACAATAAAATAAGGATTCAGAAGTTTAAACAAAGTTTGTTTCATATTTCGTATTTCAGTTTTCAAAGCTTTGATCAAATTTTACCATTTTACTCCATTAAACAATTACCAACTTAGTAACATATGAATAGTGGCTGAGAAACAACAGGCTCCCAGTTTGTTTTCTCGCACAACGTCTAATTTTTAGGAAGGAATTTCTGACGTTAAGCAGATGTATGTGTATTATTATATCTTTATGTAAATTTTTTAAAAAATATATAGGCCTATAAGGGTGGCAACGAAAGTCTCCGGCCTATCATTTCAAAAAATTATAGGACAATAGCAGTTAGTGTATACCTTTTGCCGATGCTTATTACTCCAGGCATGTGCTAGAGTGCAAGACGATTATGAGAATTTTCGCTCTTTCTGTTATCGAAGAGACTCGTTGGAATTTCAACCCCTAATGAAAATAAGGCAACATTATCAATTACAAAGTTGTAGCACATGAAAGATATCAACTATTACTTTTTAGCACATTCCTGAATACTGTATTAAGTGGGATCCCGGAACAGGCTGTTAAGTGTGACAGGTAAATATATACCGAACAACACGCAAGAGCTAGTTGTGTATCACTGTAGAACACGAATGCAATGTGACAGCGGTTAAATGTGCAGTTAGGCTTAGGTTAGCAGAGATATGGATATCGAAATGATCTGATTTAATAGCGAATATCAAATGCCGAGAAATATTCAATAAAACACACACAAAAAAAAATGCTGCACATGTTGACACAAGATGTTTATCGCATACTCCAAATAAATGTTTTCCACAACAACTTTTGCTTTTTCCAACAACTTTTTGCACGGCTGTCAATACTTGTTCATTAATACAGGAAAATAGAAGAAAAATCTATAGAAATCTATGTATAAAAATGAATAATTTTCCCTATATGATGATTTTTTTGTTAAATATTATATCTCTAGAAAACATTAAATAAGAGCCTAAGCAGGAAGTACTCTCCACCAAACTTTTGTGTTGTTGTAGTGTAAAATAAGCGTGAGGGATAAAAACTTTAGCATATTTGTATACGTGCTTTTAGTTATAAGCATCCATTATTGTATTTTACTGACATTAATTTAATACAATATTTTTCTCAACA